TCTTTCATCTTCGACAACTCCTTCTTCATTAAGCTTGTGGAAATCGCCTGTCGGCCACATTCACGTGTCGAAAACACTCTAAATGGTTCCAGTTCCTCTGATCTTCCCTCCACTTCTTCACCATTCAAGATGATATCAGTACCTCCCTCAGGCACACCCATAATTCGCTCGAAATCTTTGGCCGAAATATGCACTTCCAACCCATACGCCTTAATTGTGCTTTCTTCCAGATTAAAGCTCTTCACAAGTTTCTCCAACAACTCACGTTGTAGCTTTCTTGCTTTGACATCAAGAATACGACCAAAGCCACATCTCCTAATGGCCTCTGATTGACAAGCCTCTAAATTTGAGACTACTGAGAATACTTTCCTAGGAGAACATCGCGTGCTGAAAATTTGATGCCTCTTCGTCTTCATTATAGAACAATTTTAGCAAACTGCAAAATTAAAACAACAGAAAAATTATAAGCATGCCTTGAAACACGAATTATAAGCATGCCGAAGAGTACAAACAAAATACAAGTTCTAACTACCAGAAGAACTGAAAACCCCCTACATCAACACCTGAGTACACTAATTAACCATGAAAACACCCAGCTTTCATTAATTTTCACCCAAAATGCAAAATCTCACGGCCGTGACATGACCCGTGAGAAGCAAAGAGAAGTTTGCATATCTCCAGACAATCTCCAGACAATCACACGGCTTATTCTCACGGCCCGTGATAATTTACTAAGGGGCCGTGAGAATTTACAAAGGGGCCGTGAGAATTTACAAAGGGGCCCGTGATAATTTACTAAGGGGCCGTGAGAATTTACAAAGGGGCCCGTGAGAATTTACAAAGGGGCCGTGAGAATTTACAAAGGGGCCCGTGATAATTTACAAAGGGGACCGTGATAATTTACAAAGGGGCCCGTGAGAATTTACAAAGGGGCCCGTGAGAATTAACAATGGGGCCGTGAGATGCCCATCATCCATATCCAAAAACACGGCTCATCTCACGGCCGTGACACTGTCGAAGGCAACCCGTGAAAACCTCTGGGAAACTGAGAAGTGTGTTTTTACATACACGGTCTCTCTCACGGCCTATCTCATAGCCGTGATATTTCCAGAATTACATCCACGGTCTCTCTCACAGCCGTGATATTTCCAGAAACCACACACAACTTACAACTTTTGAGAGCTAAATAACATGACCACGAGCATAGCCACTAAGCTTTCCATAACCCATGACACCACCATAAACACTCGCTCTATTTCCATCCAAACTGGCTAAAACTGAAGTCACCCTGATTTCATGAAATAGTTCTTGACTAACACACTCAATTGCACCTTTCATGCAGCCAAGCAAGACCCTTCAATTAACAGTCCAAAATGTAATCAACAAGCAACGGTAACGACACTACAAACTGAAAATAATCAAACTGAGTATGAACTTTCCTATTCGATTTGCCTCCATAAAACACAAATCAAGTCTCTCCATTCAAAAACCCATTCCTTACATCCATAAAACCCAATCAAGACCAAAGAACTAAAGAAGCAAGCAGAACAACCCCAGCACAGTTATTCTCTTCAGTTTGAAAGCAAAGGCAACAACGAAATGAACAACCCCAGCACAGTTTATGGGATTATATAAACCAAGACAGCTTCCTAGTTGACACTGAATCCTCCATTCACAAATACCTCCTAGGTCACATCAACGATCTGTGTGAGGAATGAAGTTATATGGTGGATGGCCACAACTATTTGCACAAAAAAGTGCAGACTTTCTGAAGCTTCATCAATCACGGAATGACTAAAGATGCCCCCATCTCAATCAAACTCGGCCGTGACAAAATACAGCACAACCAAGAACTACACTTGAGAGAGCTTCAATACTCATTGCACAAGACGTTAAAGCTAAAGAGATAGACAAACCAAATCACAGAAGAAGACACTGGAAAAGATGGAGCACATCAGAATTCCCACTTCACACAACTGATAAAACCGAGAGAGGGAAAGGAATATTGCATCTTATATCACCATATCCAATTGAGAATGCACATGAAGAAAGCAGTGGAGAAGCTTCAATTTCAATCCCAAATGGTTACACAGAATTGAGAAATTCTCTCTTCTACTTCCATAGTTCAATTTGGTAAAACGAGCATGGAATTTCAATCCTATGATTTGGCAACCGATCCTTAGTAGACAACTTGACATTTCCAGAGAAATAAGTCAGACATTCAAAGACACCATTATTTTACTCGAAGCTGCTCCAACAAATGCTCTAGAAGCTAGAAGCTAGAAATTGAATGTTTATCAAAGGGAGATAAGAATTTCAGCCACTTACATCGAATGAATGACTGAGTCGTCGTTTCAAATCGGAAATCGAATGCTTTATCACCCAATTCTCGCTATTGCAGGAGTTCTCCTACCCGGCGCTAGTTGACTCGTCGTTGTCGATTGGGCTTTTCGAGTCTTTGATTCCTTCTGAGTCTTCCTCCAGTAAAAGAGTCTCTGCCACCTTCAGAATTCAAGTCCTCTTTGTCGTCGCCACTGCTCACCCCCTTTACTATCTACGAACAGACCCACCGCGAAACACAATCCCAGGAGAGGAAAGTTGAAAAACGATCAGACCCACCGCAAAACACAATCCCAGGAGAGGAAAGTTGAAAAACGATCAGACCCACCGCACAATCTCACCGTTTCCGTCGCCGATGCTCAAGCCCTTCAATATCGACGAAGAGACCCACCGCGGAAGAGCACAGTTCACAATCGCGAAAGGGTTCCCCCAATTTCTTTCTTCTCACAACGTCGCTGTCGCCCTAGATGCAGGTTCGCCGTCGCCGTCGCACTATTTCAAATGCAGGTTCGCCGTCGCCGCGGAAGAGACGCTCTGAAATTCCACCTCGGAAGAGAAGCTCTGAAATTCCACCGCGGAAGAGAAGCTCGATCGCCTTTTTTTTTGATGCAGTGAAGGGTTTCTGTTTTGATGCAGAGCTCGATCGCCTGGATTTCAATTTTTTTTAAAATGATTGTGTAATGAACCGGTGCAACAGGTTACCAGTCCACAAGTGAAAATAATAATAATTAAATAATTTCAATCCAATGGCTGATATTTTATAACAAGATCTAATGGCTCTAAATATATTAAAGCATGGGTACTATATAGCATACTAAAATGCCTCATATATGAAATCATTCACCTACCAGCCAACTACGATACACGTCCCATCTTCGAGGGCACAACGACTTCACCAACTTGGCCGCTAAGTTTGTTTTACCATATGTTTTGTGGCACTATTTTTCTTTCAAATTTTTTTTTTGCCAAATTGTAACAAGAAAAGTATCAAACATCACAAAAGCATATTGAATGGCGGTCTTTGTTTCATAGTGGAAATATGTAATTTATATGATTTCTAATTATATTGTGTTGTGACGTCACACTTGCTATTAGGGAGCAATTCACTACACCGCATTGACTTAACTGTAATTTTGATTGGGTTATAAATATAGAATTCGCGCTAAATGAACACTTCTATTACAATTTAGAAGCAATGCAAAGGCCCGACGCGAAGCGCAGGCTTCCGTTCTAGTCAACATAAAATCCCATGTTCAAATTAGGAAAGCACACAAAGTGCACCAAATTTGTTACTTTGCACTTCCATTTTCATGGATTCCATTATGAAACTTCTGGATGTCAATGGAGCATCATATTTCCCACTTCCAAATCAACCACTTATTCCACAAAGCAAAAGAAGGGTAGCATGAAAAGAAAGTCCGATAAAAGTTAACTACATGAAAGAAATATGTATACTTCTAGTCCTTGTTTAGCTTAGAGGGAATAAACAACTTATAAGATTCATCCAGAGTATCCATTAAGATGAGTTTGTAAATCAGGAACCGCAGTGAGAGCTTAGCTTGGACTGCTAGAAAGTAGTTGTGCACAGAGAACAATTAAGTGATTAACTTAACCGATACTTGGAGCTGTAGTAATAAATTGTCAACCATTAATTAAGATCCTTTAGAGTACCAAAAGTATTGTATGCAAATTCATAGAGCATCAATCAAGTCTGAGGGCATACCCCTTTTACAGCTTGTCATTTTTAGCCATAATCTATCTCACATGCAGGAGACAATCTTAATTTTGGTTCAGTGGATTCTATATTGTTTTTGCTCGTCAATTATAGATAAAAGAGAATGGAAGTTATGAGGTACAAAACTTCACTAAATGTCAGGGAAAAGTAACCTTCTCAATTTCTTAACACTTGGTTCTAAATATACTTGTGAAAGAAATGTAATAATGTCAACAAAAACTACAACAAATAAGGATTAGTTATTGTGTAAAGAACATAGAAGTATACCTTATAGACAGGGCAAAGCTGTCTTTACCAAGCATATTGGATTCGGAAAAATTGCCTGTGACAGCGAATACATTCTTAAAGCTGAAAATGGTGAGGTGGGTTTTGTTTTCTTCGTCCCATTCACATCTTGTGTAGCTGTTGGTGACATTAATTATTTCCAGTTAATTTCACTGATGTTGTAAGACATAAGAACTTGAAAGAATCTTCAGCAACCATTTATTAGATTTCTTCTCTAACACTACAAAGAGTAGTTTACCTAGACTCACATGTGTTTCCTGCTCAAGAAAGCGGACACTATCAAGCTGACAACCAAAGCTTGAGAGCCAACACAGCACCAAAAATTATGCTCTTATTACCAGAATTATTATTAATCTAGACAATATATAAAGCATATTCATGGGTTGGAATTGCTCCAATTTGAATTTGCTGGTCTGGGATTGATTTTCGGAAGGGTGATTTGGTCATTTTTCCTGACTTTCATTAAATGCCGCGCTGCGTTTTGGCCTTGGAACTTGACTGATGCTGCGACAATAACAATGGGCCCTGGCCCCTGGCCCAAAGTCTGGCGAACCATTTGGCCCAAACTTCGCCTTCTTCATTTGTCGACAGTGACCCATAAACCCCCTCTGTCGATATCGATGTGGTCAGCTCCCCACAAAACATACCCTCAACTCTACGTTCCTCGCCGGCGGTGGCTAACGACTACACTAGGAAGGAGCTCAGGTCACCGTCGCTATGTGCGTCCTCTTACTCTCCGTCCATTATTTCCCCTCTTCGAGCAATTGAACAATTCCTAATCTCAGGCTTGCTGAATTTATAGTTTGTGATAATTGAAAATATGAGGTCTGCTAATTGATTGTGCGGATAGGCCGACGTGTTGATTGTTTCTGCAACTGTTCTTTTTTTCTTTTGGTTTGACAATTGAATTTCTGTTGGATACCGTGAATTCATTTGCGGAGGCGGCTGGGAGGCAGTGTTTTAACGTTTCTCGATTGCTCTTTGTTTATCCCCCTTGGCTTATTTCCTTCTAGGTTGAAAATTGAAATCTGTTCTTTTTGCTCAGTCATTGCCGTGGGAAATTGGAAGGTATTGTTAGTAGTCGATGGTGTTTATGGATGGAAATCTGTTCTTTACTTGCATCCATCGAAAACTTGAAAATTCTATTATTGCTAATACTTGGAAAGAACAACAAATGTTTTACTTGATCATTTCTATGTTGCTTCATGGAAATTGATTAAATGTGTTTCTTGCTTTTCTTAGATAATGTGTTGCTCTTGCTTTGCCTAGATTATTTGTTCTTTTGGATTCAGCATCGTTGCAGAATGGTTTATCCCTATACTTAGTAATTGAGAAGCCAAGAAGTAGTAAAGGTCTGGGATGGAAATTTTTTTCCAACCAACTGATAGAAGTTCAAGTGAGGAATAGAATGCTAACAGTAAAGACAAATAAATCTTTGCTTAAAATATACAGAACACGCTTTGAGAATGATTTATCCCTTTAGACCTTTACTAATTAATTGGGAAGCCAAGTAGTAGAGGTTTTTGATGGCTGAATTTTTCAACCAAGTGATAGCAGTTCATGTCATGAGTAGAATAATAACAACAAAGGAGGGAGAACCTATGTTTAAAAATCAACAACACACAGTAGTAATTTGATTGAGATGTGTTCAGATTGCCACAAGTAAATAGCAAGTATCAAACAGCCAAACACAAAATGCATAACGTGGGATTTAGGTTATGTCTACACCATTTTAAAGAGTGATCCTTGATTATGATACTTAGTTCTGGATATCTGTACACAAATTAAAAGGATTCGGTACTTCATGTATGATTATTCAAAGCTGCTAAGGGTTGGATTTTTCAAAAATGATAAACTGACTTCAAACATTCTGTTTTTTTTTTAATTATGATTTTTAAGAATTAAGAATGATTCAGATGAATTGTTATAGTGGATCAAGATTCATTTACATGGAGTTTGAAGCCCAATCCGCCACATCTTTGGAGTTTTAGTAAAAAATTAATTCATTGAGCTCTCGCTCTTTCTTCTATCTGTTAATGTTCAATTGTTTTCCTTTTTAACTTTGGTTGAGCTCGGAGATTTGATGTGGCTGAGTAGAAATCTTGATAACTAGAGACCTAAATCATTACTGCAAAACTATCCATTACTACAAAACACGAAATAAAAGGTCTAAACAACAACTAACCATAGTTTATATACACCACATTTCATTTGATTGCAGCAATTCCTATTGCAAGTTTCTTTCACACCTAAATTCATGGGGATTTTGGGAGATATGCACAGGTTTGTAATTATTAGTATGAAGGCCAGCAACACACTCTGAAAAATTACCATTAATGCCTTCTTTCCCATCCTCATCATCAACTCATTTCATTAATACTATTGCTTGATTTCTATTTGATCAATACATACATGAGGCATCAGGTGTCGGTATATATACATAGTTACTATTCTTTTTTAACCAGCTTAGCTTCCTATATTTGATACTGCAACTTGAAGGTTGTGCACCATTGGGGCTTGCACGCCGGGCGTTGTAGTTAGGAAGAAGACATGAATGAATGAATCCTGCCTAGCTAGCTGTCTCCCGTGACTTTAACGTTCATTTTGTTACCTTAACCAGGACAGGATCTATACGACGACGAATCAAATTCACCACCGCTGATATAAGTATATATAACTGCATGTGTGAGATGGTGCATGCGCTTGCATTCATTTATGTTCCTCTGTGTACTTGGAGTGGATCGTCCTGATGAAGGTAGTGGAAACCATAATTTTCATTAGCATACAAGACTACCTATTCAGATGAATGCACTTTGTCACCTATGTCTGTATCATCCGTTTATGTGTAGGTTTTTTTATGTTAGTTATACAGGAAATGCGTAACAGAGATACTTTGATCACACTTTCTATGAACTTCGATGCATGTCAGCCACAAATTTGGACCATGCTCAGAATGGTTAAAACATGGCTCATATAAGGCTAAAGGTTATAGTAATATGATTATGCTTAGATTACCCGCCCAACGGGGCGGGCCCAGTGCTAGTATATATATAAACCAAAATACTTGTTACTATTGCCTAACAGTTGTGCTAATTTACAAGTTACTATTCCTAAAACTCCTATATGGTATCAGAGCCTATTGCTTAACAGCGTTGATCCAGGAACCCTAAAACCTTGTTTTCTTTCGTCGGCAGGATGAGCCCTCACTCACCCGGTCCTCTTTCGACCACAGCTTAACCCACTGCATCCCTATTCATATTATTATTATTCCCTTCTACTTTATTTTGCTAGGTCTTCGTTTCATTCAACCAAATAAAACGAATAAATAAAATCCCCCTTTTCCCAAATCTTCCTCTACGCCTCTCGTCCCCACCATAACAGTTCAAGCTTCAATTTCCACTGTCCCAAAAGCATTCCTTTATTCCATGTCATCTTCGTTATTTTTCGTTGCAGATTCTGATAGTTGTTTTGTGCTCTGACGATTGACCACTGCCGCATTGTCCTTGGAGATCAAGATCCGGTTTTTATAGTCGATGTTATCGTTCTTATCTTATTTTCAGATTGTTGCAGAATTATATGGCGGAGCCACGGTCATTCTCTAGCCATCTCTTCTTCACGTGGAACGAAGAAAGCTTCTCTGACAACGGTCATTCGGATGAATGCCTCGTATCCTACACCAGTTTACGTTTATTGGTATCGTAAAAACCAATTCATTCATCTCGTTCTGGTCAACTTTTGACGGCGAGTGAGTTTCGTTGCAAAATATGAATTGCAAGTTTGAGGATTTCTTCTTCTCCAAGACGACGATTAGTTGGCTTCGCTCTTCAAGCACAAGAGTTCGATGAGTTTGCATCACATTCTACACCATCAAATTGCGGGGGCGTGTTCTTCAGATTAGCGTATGTTGGTCAAGATTGATGTTGTTCTTCGCACCATCATCTTGCGGGAGCGTGTTAGAGATAGATTATGAATAATCTTATATTTCCTTGTCATTATAATATAGTTCTTAGTATTACCGTGTCCTTCTAGTATTGTGGTTCTCTTACTTATTGTCCAAGTCTTGTGATCTATATAAACCCCTTTATGGTTTCATAATAATACAAGTTACTATTCCTAAAACTCCTATACTATCGTCCAGAACAAAAGGGGGTGGGGAGAAATAATAAAGCTAGCTGCTGATAACATCGGATTTGCACATGTTTGCACCCTCGTTTCTTCTTCATTTTGGCTTGAGTTTCTGCTTTCTTGGACTATTTTACGCTAGGTTGTGTTCCTTTGTCACATTTCAGGTCCTAGCATGTAAATTGAAGCATAGGCGCAAGTTTCAAGTCAATCGGAGATCATTTGAGAATTCGGGAGAAGAAACACGAGCATAACCTGAGGAATAATGGACTTCTACCTCATATTATGGACAAATAATCATGGAATTTTGTCATGAAAAGAAAGAGGACAAGACTACGAGCGTCTGGGATCAAACGGCGACTGATTCGGAGTCCGGACGAGGGAGAAATGAAGCATTAAACAGAGGCTGGGTAAGCCACACGGGCATCCTGGAACTCCACACGGCCGTGTGGGTCGTGGCCGTGTGGAAATCACCGAGCCTTCACACGAGCAGCTGGGAAAGCCACACGACCATGTGGTCTGGCCGCGTGATCGGGAATTTCTGTTTAAAACCCGATTTTCAGCAAATGGAAAGGGGAGAGCTGGGTTTTTGGTTCCCAAACACCCAAGGGACGAACCCTAGAGAGAGAGCGACTTGGGAACATTCTTGGAGCTATTCTGGAGGATTTCTTCGCCATTGGAGCTCGGGAATCAAGCTTGGCGATGGAGATTGAAGATCTAGATCAGATTTCTGCAGTCTCTCTCTTCTCTATGGAGTAACTTCCCTTCACTTAGGTTTTAAGGAACCCTAGTTCCATGTGTTAGGATCTTTCTTGTATGAAGTTTTGGATGTTATATTATTTGATTATAATCGATTGAGGCATGATTTATTAAGTCAATTGAATCTTGATCAAAGTCTCTTGATTTTTGCTTTAACCTATGATAGATAGAATCTGATTAGGTTAAGAGAGCTTCCTTGATTGATAGTGGTGAATTGGTTGTGCGAGAGTCAATCAATTCACTACTTTGTACTGGAATCCAATTCCAGTAGTGGGGTTCTGTGTTCATAGCCTCAGCTTTCTATCCCGGTGAAGACTAGTCGTCTGCCGGGTAGTTGGACTGAGAGGGCTTGGTCAGCTTAAGAGATTCCAAGCTAATTTAGGATCTTCCGCAGTTTAATCAACAGTAGATCAACCAAAGGTAATTGCAACTTGGACCTAATTGAGGAGCTAAGGGGAATCATACCTAAGTGAATTCCCAACTTGTAATTAGTAGAGTAGTCAGTAGAGTAGTTTACAAATCAATCCTTAATCTAGTTTGGTAGATAATGAACTGAAGCTGAGTAATAGTAACTCTAGAGACCCGTGGATTCGATATTTATTACTTGTGCCACTATACTGCAGTCCCTTTTATTGGTTACACTTGGCCATTGTTAGGTGGTGTGTTTTAGCGTGTCAGCTGCCTGCCTGCCTCATTAGTAGTGGCTAATGACGAAAGAGAGAGGGATCAAACCCAGCAAAAAAAAAATATGATACATAAAAATAAAATAAAAGATACATGAAAGGAATTCCGACCTACAACGGAATTAGTAAACATGTACAATAATGTATGGATTCTTGAATTTGTTTTTTGCTGATTGTTTTTTTTTTCCTTTGTTCATAGATAGTGTAAAAGTAACATAACGGAGCTCACAAGTCACAACATACTGCATAATGAGATGTGGCAGTTGATAATTTTTTTAGAGAAATAATTGGCAAATATTGGAATTGTGAACGAGAGTTGTTTGTGATTGTGCATTATTGCCCTGAATTTAATGTTTTTTCAGAAAAAATCTTAACCATTAAAAAATATTATGGAGGTGAAGCGTGAAAAGTTAACTAATTACCATAATAAATTTTTTACTTTCACTTTGTTTAATGTTTGAGTTGTCCTTTGTTTCCCTTTCTTTATTTTCACCTTTGCCTTTTTTGTCAAATATTTTTTTTTTCGGTAATTATCTTTGTCAAATATTAATTAGTATATTATTCTAATTTATAAGTATGAAAGGTTCAATAAATGATTCACCAATGAATCTATAAATATAAATAATTGAACAATGAATTATTAACTTCCAACTTAATGTTTAGTTCGATAAAGAGGTTTTTTAACTTATGAATAGACTATCATTTTCCTTCATATTTCTGTCAATGAGATTTGAATTCATGGATTTTAAACTTGAGTTTCACTTTTTATTCATTTTGATTCTCTCTCTAGAGCATTTCCTTCTCATTCGGGCTAAAATTTTTCTACAATTATATATGAATTTCCAATTATGTATATACATATCACATTAAAAAAATGATTCTAACATAAAAAAGCACAAAAATACTACAGTTGATATGCAATGATTAAGGAAAGCAAATTTCATTAGACAACCATAACAATATAAGAGTCGACCAGCTAGCTCGCGGTGTAGCGCGATCCCAGACTAGTATTGTTAATTCAACAACATCCATTATTATGTAGGTAGGCAGCCCAACTGCGTAAATAGAGAGTTATTGAATAGCGAACACATGTCCAGACCCAACCGACCATCTGCTCCCTTCATATGCATATGTATATGCATGGGTCTCAATCATCAAGCTTAATTAGATATGATTCAGCCTTAGATAGTCCAACATGCAATGGTAGAGGAAGTAAGAAGAGTTTATAGCAAACTAACCTGAAATTATGGTTTGTGGACTTCTGGAATCGGTGGACCTGCTGGAGGCAGAAAGGATCCAATTAGAATCGATTGGAACCGCAAACTCAAACGGGAACCTGTCCATTTGCAATTGGAGCAATTCTTCTTATTTTTTCGGATGTACCAAGGTCTGCAAGCCATGGAGGGGAGAGGCCGACTGTAACAACCCGTGACAGCTGGCTTAGGTGATATGGAAAGTATCCAATGTATAAATAGAAACATTGATTTGGTGATTGGTTATCGTTTACCCAATAAACACATTCCTAGCTATAGGGCTGGGCATGCGGGCGGATCATCCGCGGGTTTGGGCCGACCCACCCGCATTTGACCCGAATTTCGTTAAGTGGGTGGGTCTATGGGTGGGTGACGGGTTGCGCTGGGAGCCATCCGCCGGGTGGTGGGTGGGTTGTGGGTGGGTGCGCGGGTGACCCGCTCAACCCAACAGCAAAAAGATCAAAGTCGTCGGCGCTAGAGAGGGGAGAGTGGAGACGTTAGACATAAACTAGGACTGCTCATGGAGTTTAAACCTGAAAGCCAACCTTCCAAATAGCGATCCCCTCTTCTTCCCTTTATTTTCCCTCTAATTCTTGTGCCTAAATCACTGCTCTTTCCTTTATGGAATTATTTTTCTTAGTTTCTTGCACCTGATAATCATCTCAATTTGTAGAAAACTCTTTCATCATAGAATTTCTATCCATTTTAAGAACTAATTCGACATTTTTCACGCTATTTCATCTTCTTGTTTCCCCATATAACTCTCTTCGCCTCATGTCAAGTTGACTCCTTTATATTATATACATTGTGATGTGGGTGAACCCACAAACCCACCCAAATCATCCACCATCCGCCCGACCCAACCCGAGACTAAATGTGGGTGGGTGGTGGGTTAAAAATTATCAATCTGTTTAAACGCGGGTGGGTGCATTTTATGGTCAAAATCCACCCGACCCACCCAATGCCCACCCCTACCTAGCTACTTTACCAATTTTTTAGTTAGCTACAGAAACATAACTCTTTTCTCTCCTCTATATCTTCTCCTTTCTTCTTCAATTCCAATACAATCGCCAGATTCACCATTGAACTATCCTTAAAAGTGGTATGTAATCTGGCAATGGAGACGAACACTTCTCGCATCGTGGATTTGGAGAATCAGATGGCGATGGTTCACTGAAGCTCGATTCTCAGCACCAAGATCAGAAGGAAGCCATTTATGCTTTGGTGGCTTCGACGAATGATAATATTGACGCTCTTAGGTTAATAGAGCACCCTTAATTGAAGGTAGTGAATTGGCGACTTAAGTCGAGGAGCCAATTCACTATTCTGTACCGAATTCACTTCGGTAGTGGAGGTTTGGTTCGTTAGGGCCTCAATCTGTTTACTCCGGTGGAGGTTACTCGTCCGCTGGGGACTCAGATTGAGAGGGTCTGGAGACCTTTAGTCGAGACTTCAGACTGTTTAAGAACATCGCGCAGTATAACTATCATAGAAACTGAACTTGGTAAATTGCAATCCGGCTTAACTGCAGTCTAGGGGGAACCATATCCGGGTGACCTCTCTCGACTTGAAAACAACCGTTAAACTTGCTTTGTTTGTTTGTTTGTTTGTTAATTTGGACTTGCACTAAAGTTTCACCGCTAGATAATAAGAATTCACTGAGTAGTCATCACATCTAGGACCCGGGTTGACATTAAAACCCAAACCCGCTATACTACGCTTTAGGAAGTGGTTAAACTTGGCCATTTTCTAGAGTGACAGTAGGAGTGAGTTAAGTTTTTGGCGCCGTTGCCGGCGAAGGCTAGGTCGTTGAAGAAAAGTGATTTCTGTTAATTTAGCATTTTCGTTTTCGCATTGACTGTTTGTTCTTTCCCACTTGTGCCTTCACGGGTTTGCATTGCTTGACTGTGTGCAGTTAGTGCATGACCCGTAGCCAGTCGGGAGGTTTACTGCCGTTGGATCCAGAGATTGAGCGCACCTGCCGCCAACATAGGACACAACAGAGAGCTAGACTGGCTACGAAAGAGCGCATAGACGGCCACTTGAGCATCGATTCTGAGGAAGAGTACGAGATGGAAGGCGAACACAACTCACCCCCGGGGAATGCTCTCCAGGTTCCCCCGGTGAATCAGTTCTTGGGGAACAACCCCATACCCCAAGCAGATGGGGTTCATCATCATCCACCGCCGCCGGGTCCCACCTTGGAGTACTACTACACTCCACGGATTGCTGATATCCGCC